GGTATAGGGAAGGACTACAGACTTTAGGTATAGGAGTCCAGATGATTCTTTAAAATTGCAAAGATGGCAAAAAGGGTATCAGGGTGCAGACTTGTCTATCCTGCTCTGGGCATATAGCCCAAGAGAAGAACAGAACGCAGTCTTTGTGATTCACCCTTCACCCTGCATTGGGACGCCCCAGCCGCAAATCTATATATACCCATGGTGATTATACTGGTCTACCACTTATTACTAGGGGTTTGCTCAAACATAGTCTGTTGTCATTATATGTCATTATTCAATTAGCTACAATGGAGAGAAAACCTTGTAAATATCCTACCTCCAGAATGACACAAACGGCACAGATCAGTTATTGCAACCATTAGTCTAGGTTGCAAAAGAGACATGCAAGACGAGATGGTGCTCAGGCAAGTAATTATCTGCAACTATAGTCATAACCGTAAGAGCAGCTAACAGACAGAGCTTCAGCACTGCAAAGGTTACCTGAGGACACCCACCTGAAGATAACCCAAAGCATAACCCTAAAAAGAAAACATGTACTTTTCTTTTGATTTATTTACAAAATAAATAAATAAATCCAAATAAAACTTAGCTTTTGGTTTTATGGTTGTGCCCGTCAGGGGCTCACGTACGGCTTTGTGGGTTTAACACTCTTTTTCAGTGGCATTTGTTTTCTATGGAAAATGGTTGTTACAGATTTACTGCCATACTAATTTTAAATCGATGTTATTGTCTGAGTACTTATCATGACACCTGGGTATGAAACTTCAGGAGCATGCTGATTCGTCAGTGCATTTATTTACTGTGCAAAATACTTTTCTTAATGGATTCTTTGCTCATAATCAATATAAATATATACATGTTCCATAGTATGTTAAAACTGAACGTCTCTCAAAAGGAGACATTTTTGTCCCGATTTGTTAGCTAATGTGAAAAAACATGAGCAGCATGCTAGCTTGGTAGTGCTGCGACCCCCGTGTCTCTAAATGACATTTATTATGACAAAGTTTGCGTAACAAACTAGCATGAGCCCTAGGATGTCGCCTTGTGCTCTGGGCTTCCTGGGACTCTCTCCTATACTGTCCTATACTGTCCTATACTGAACAGTGCTGGAAAAAGTACTCAATGTTCATACTTAAGTAAAAGAACAGAAAGTCAAGTAAGAGTCATCCAGTAAAATACTTCTCAAGTAAAAAAAATGCCAGGTTTTAAAATTACTTAAGTAAAAA